TTTCACCAGCCAAAGTAAAATAACAGTGATAGTAGTTGCGAGTAGCGGTAGTACAAGGTTTGAAGAATGGAATTTTATTCACACTTCATTTTTTACTCTTCACGCCCTTTTTTTAAAATCATTTTAAATAAAGTTACATAATTACTCTTTCTTTTTTCTCTTGAAATCTTTCCAAAAAATTTTTAGATTTTCATATCTATAAAAATTTTTATAAAATATATTTTTCTCAATTGATTTTTTTTCTCAAACTTAATGCATATCTAGTAAATCATATAATTTATGAAAAATGTATATTTTGTAAGTTATATAATTTATTAAAAATATAAATTTGAAAGTTTTAAAATTAAAATGAAAAAAGTAATTAATTTATTTTATTTAAAAATATTTAAAAATAAAAAGAGATGGTGGCTTAATAAAACTACCTTTGAAGAAAAACAAGTACGAAATTGCAAATTCATAAATCATAGTGACAGAAAACATGACCCATCAGCCCACTCTTCAAAGTTAAAACTGACAAAGGCCTAAGTCATCATCCTAAGGTCCATTCGATGTCAATGCCAATGTTCAAAATATGGCTCGCCTGGGCTCAACCATAACACCAAAACTACAAATTTCAGAAAGGAATCTTCTTCGTATTGTCAGTGTTACCTGAAAAAAAAGAAATTATAGTTTTTTTTTCTAAATAATAATAAAACTTTTCATACTAATTAATTTTTAGCCATTATGAATATATAAATATAATAAAGATATTCAAATTTTAATCAATGTGAAATTTCTTTGAATGTCTAAATTTTAGAATTTATATTCAATTTTGTTGATAGTGTATTTTTTGTGTCTTGGTAGAGAGAAAGTAAATGAGGTTGAAGGGAAAGATAGATGTAACCTCACCAGAAAGGGCAGTCAGGGATTCTGAAGTTATCATTTTGATATATGTTTTTTTGATGCTTAAGTTAATGTAATATCTAAGATAAGATTAAAAAGTAAGATAAGGAAGATGGACAAATGATGAAATGTATGGAAGAATCTAGAGAGATTTAAATTTTTTTTTTTTTGTTGTGTATGTGGTTTTTTTTATATGTTGTGTGAAATAAAGAAGGATGATCTAATTTAATTGATACACGATTGATAATTAAAAAGATATTTATGTGAAATTTAAAAAGAGTTAACGTGAATAAATAAAAATTATATTTAATTATCTTAAATAAACATAAATTATATTTAATAATTTTGAGATATCATTTAATGATTTAAGATAAATTGATGACTCATTGATTAATTTCAAAGCGATGACTTTGATAAATTATTGGTAGGATCTCGATCGGATATTTTTTTAATAAGTGACAAGTCATCCCTTAAAATAAATGATATAATAATTTGGACACATATTAATTGAATGACTCACGATATGTTGACCGGTTGATTTAAGTATAACAAATTTAAAATTAATTTAGAATAAAAATTTTGGTTATGTTTAATTGTTTAAAATATTTATTAATTTAGTTGATACAGATTTTATTTTATTATCACTCTAATAAAAAAATCCACTTTCCTTGAAGAAACAAAAATACAGACAGATATTTATGACTAATGATGAACAAACTTGTACTGGAAGAAAAAAATCATTCACATATTTGTCCAGGTGCAATGTGGTAGGGCTTGGCAGGATATGGAAAATGTAAAATCAATTATCACATAGAATTAAACTTCATAATTGGTTTCGTTTGGCCAAATATAGAACCAAATTTGTATTTTTAATCAATGAAAATCCAAATAAAAAATACCAAAAATGAGGGTTAGACTATATATTTACACCTTTTTGCAATTAAATATTTTCAAAAATGTTATATATATATTTATATATTTATATATATATTTATGGATGGAATATGTTTTTCTTTGATTGAATTTCAATTAAAATTTAAAAATTATGATTAAATCATGTCAAATTTTAAGGCAAAAAAATATCATGTTAAATTTTATGATAACTTTCATGTAGATGATATCAAAACTCTCAAAATATCTTCAATGTGATTCAGTTTTAGTTTGGATTCTATAATAACTGCAGTGTAATTAAGTTTATCGTATTATTGGTTAAATTCAAATATTAACTCTAATAATATTAATTAAGTATAAATTTTTTTAATTTCAGTTACATTACTTTTTTTCAATCACAATTATAATAATAATTATTATTATTTTTAATCTCACCGAATTCAATCTCACCGTTTATCAAATGAGCCTAAATGATCAACAGTTAATTAATTTATTGATTAAATCGAAACATGGAGTAAAACTTGTATTATTTTGAGAAATACATATTCCTTTTTATTTAAAAAATTCTTTTGGATTGTATATATAATATTACAACCATAAATCATCTAATTTTTTATGAAATAAATTAATCCTATAATTAATTGTATCAAAGTTTCTAAATAACTCATAAAGAATCTATAATTATTTTGATGAGATTAAATCCATGTGATCAGTGGTTTTGTGTTATTGCATGCCATTGTTACTCTTTAATTTGTAATTGCAGGAATTATATTTGTGAAAATTGAAAAATATAAATTTATATATTTAAATTATGATCATCAAAATTAAAAATTTAACATTATATCAATAATTATATAGATATTGCTGAAAAAAAATCAAATTATCATAAGAAGAATTCATCAATATCTATTGGAACCCATATTAAATTATTATTGGTTATAAAAAAAGCATCATTCCAAGTTAATTTTTTACATCCAATGCCACTTAAATTTTGCCACTTTTGGCATTCATGAACGCATTGAATTAACTCACCCATACCATGGAGGCTTTTTTTAATTCATTGTGTAACTTAACGATATTTCAAAAAAAAAAAAAAAACTTTGCTTATAGTTCAAATATTGTCTCATGGGCAGAGCAAACTAAAAAAAAAAAAAGAAAGAAACTTATGATACAAAATGGAATTTTTATCATTTTTTCATAAAAATAGAACAGAAGTTTTACTATACTATGATTTTATCCGATCAAGGTTGACAATTCAACCTGCTCCGATGGGTTTTGACCCAACCCTACCTTATTAGATTTATTTATTTTTTTTTTGAAAATCGAGTTCGAATTGAATATAATTTTAGACAAATTTGATCTGATCCAAATTGATATTATATAAATATTATTTTTAATTTTTAATTTATATATAATTATATAATATTTTATATTTTAAAAATAATAATTTATTAATTTCGAATTGAATCGGATCGAATTCGAATATAAAAAAAATTTCAAATCAAATCGAATTCAAGCTTATAATTATAAAATTAAATCAAATTCAAAACAAACAAAAATTCAAAATCCATTTTGATCAAAACTGTTGCCAACCCTATATCCAATTGCTATGTTATTTTTTCATCATTCACTTTAGTTTGAATAATTACAAGTTTAATTTTTTATTTATTAATTTTAGTACTTTACATCAAAAGTAAAAAAAAAATGTATGTAAAGAATAAATAATTTTTTAATACGTTTAGAGATATTTTTAAATTTTACTTAAATCTAATTTTTTTAGAATAATTTGAAAAGTACATCTTCACACATCAAGCTTATGTATGTAGATTCTCAAAGTATTTTCATAACGATCAAATCTTAATTGACAAATAATATTTTTTTTATCAACTGACTTAATCCCTAGTGAATAAAAAAACATAGAACATGGCAAAAGAAACCCTTAAACTTTCAAATAAAACATAATTGGGTTTAAAACAAAAAACCAAAACCAACTTCAAAAATAGTCAAGAAAGAAATAGGTAATTGACCAATTTCAACATTACGTTATCCGTTCACAACTTCACATTACCATTACCTTAGTAATGGCTAAAATACATAACAGGAGCAGTAATAATGAAACCGAGTTGAAAGGGTAGAAGACATGACTGGTACGAGGGTTGTAATGAGTCACAATTTCTTACAAGTATCCACCATGGTCCATCCGTACGGTTAAGCAAAACTCCACCATATATAAATAAAATACTAAAAATAATTACTATTACTTTTTTTATCACCAGATTGCAAAGCTTAGCCCCTTCTTGTTTGGGACATAAAAGGAATCTTTTCTATATCATTCCTTCTTCACTTTTCTCTTTCTTTCCATTTTTTTTCTCTCTCTCTCCCTCTGAAAACGATTGGTGGCTTTGCATTTGGTTCTCTGTCAGGTGTCACCAACACTCAAAATACAGCCAAAAAAATAAAAAATTTAAAAGCAGATGAATATGTGAAAGCCATAAAATCTGACCAATCCTCCCCCTCTTTGTTTTATTGTCCTTACTAAATGATCTTGGATTGGTAGGTTTTTCTTTGTTCTTCATTCCTTTTTTCTTTTCTTTTCTCTCTTTGGCAACTGTATGCTTCTGCTTTCCTAGGGTTGGTTTTACTGGTTCCTTCCTGATGTCCTTTTCTTTTTTTAGTAGTATTAGTTTGCATAAAGTCTCTGATTATGGTTGCTTAATTTGGAAAAAAATCACTGCAGCTAGCTCATCTTCCTTCTTTTCTTATCTTTGCTATTTACATCCAAGATTCCCTTCTATACATTTTCCATATGCAGAAACATTTTCTCAGTGCTCACATGACTTGCTTCTCTCTTGTATTTTGCTTGATTTGAGGTGAGTACTATTGTTTTTGGTTTGATTTCTTGTAACTCAACACCCATTTTTGTTTTGTGTTTCTATGTGCTTCAAAACAAGGTAGTACTTTTTTTATTACTGTTCCTGGAGGGTTAATGTTAGGATTTTTGCTTCTCAACAACGTTTGATTTTCTCAATATGTATCTTTGCCTCTTTGTCTTTCTCTAGATATAGATATAGTTGTCGGTATCTTAGTTATTACCCAGGAGTTTAGCATTTTCTTTTGTGATCAGCTGTTCATTCGGATTCTGATGTTTTAGATTAAATTTTAGTCTTCTTGACAGCAACCCATCTAATTATTTTCCCTTTGAATACCCCTCATCCCTCTTTCTCCTCTACTGTTTCTTTGATTCTTTCCCTAGAATATATTTTTTGTCTTTGTTTCCTTGGTACTTTGGTTTGATTTTTTTTGAAGAGTTTTGATACAATTTTCCCAGCTGGAAGATAATGACAAGAAAGAAAATTCCGATCCAGAAGATTGACAACACTGCCGCGAGGCAGGTGACTTTCTCAAAGAGGAGAAGAGGCCTTTTCAAGAAAGCTCAAGAACTCTCCACTCTTTGCGATGCTGAAATAGCTCTTCTAGTCTTTTCAACCACTGGAAAGCTGTTTGAATACTCCAGCACAAGGTTTCTTTCCCTTCTCCCTTCACTCATATATGCTTATGCTTTGCCTTGAATCTTGCTCCATCTCTGCTGGTTTTATTTATAAGAATCTCTGCCTCCTGGTAGATTTAATGTGTTGAATGTGCGTGGGTGAGTGTGAGAGGAAGTGACAAGGTCTTTGAAAGAAGATCTTTTGAATCGAGAGAACTGCGTAAAAGTATTATTTCATAATGACTGAATGTACTACAATCTTATATTTCTATTAAAAAAATTTTCTTTAATGATTTATGTCTGAAGCTGGGGGGTCTTAGGGTGAGAGGCGATAGTTTTCAGTTGAAAATCTGATATCTATTGATGCTAGTTCCTACTTTCCTGAATCTTGTTCAAGCCATATTTTATGACTGATCTACTGCCTAGGTAGATGGTGTTTTCTTGTACGTGTTTGCTGGTGCAACCAGAAGATAGCATTGATATTTGACCTTTTCATCTTTCTTTTTAAGCTGAAAGGTGAATGTATTTTATCATCATGAACTTCCTAGCCATGTTCATTGACACCTTAATTTCTTAAGAAATGCTCATAAAATATAGGGCTTCTATCAAATGACCAAAAAACCGCACTATAAATATAAGTACATGTGAAAAACTTGTTAATTCAAAGGTTAAGATTCATAATTATTTTTCTACTTTATAACTTAACCATTAGATTAACAAAAGTTTCATTTTTATCCTTTTCCATCCTTTCTACTGAGCAAAACTGAAATGTCTTGTTAGCAAGTGTATTAAGGATACTTACGGGTTGATGTAATTGTTAAGTACTGTTTAGAGAGAAATCTTCAATATCTAATGTATTATTAATGTTAATATAAATATTTCTAAACATAGTAGTTTAAAACTGTGGAGAAATAGTTGGAGTTATTCTAAAATGTTTTGTGAATTATAATTAACTAGCTAGTTTATGTTCTTGATTTTGATATTGTACTATTGAATTAATTGGATAATGAACAAATCTTTTTTTTATGTTGCATAATCTAAAAATCAACTAGATCATGTATATCACCACAACTAATACATGCATGCTAATTGTCAGATCTTATATGAATAATCAGTGTTATAGCCATGCACAAAAATTAAGCACAAGCTGTTGCTTTATCAGTCATCAATATTGGCTCCCCTTTTTTACCTTTCTCAAGAGTAGTACTTAATCCTAGCAAATTAGGATGTATGCATGTAAATATATGTATAATGTTAGAAATAAAAAATATTTAAAAATTTTTATACTTTTATAAAATCTTGTTCGCTTACAAATGCTGAGTCCGTGTTATTGCATATATGATCAGTTTCAAATGGATCTCATGTGGTATGGATAATCAAGATCTAATGATTGATTGATGCTATCTCTTTGTTCCTCCCTTTTCTCTTAATTTAAATTCCTTACCTTACAAAGAAAAATAAATTTAAGATCATGTTTGGCACATAGGATGATAATCATTTTATATTAGTTTTATTGAATAATTTGTAATTTTATTATCTCATAAGCAGGGAATTCACTGCTACCAATGAACCGTACAAAAATTATAGGTACTTCAAAATTATACTACAAAATTTTCTCTTTTTAGATCCCTCTCACATAACGTTTTGTTAACCTCATCCAATGCAATATTGTGTAATCCCCACAATTGAAATTGAACCATATCCTTGATCTATTTCACAATCTGCTCCCTTGCACATTCTACATTGTTAAATTGCCTTTGATTGCTTTCCTTTCATATCATGTATAGATATGCTCCCCAAGCAACTCTAAGTAGGATAGAGATAAACAATTTTCGCTTGAGTTTCTCTACACTTAAACTCATTTTCCTAACTAATCATCTTATATTATATTTGACTTGTAACTAAAAAAAGGATAGGATTACAAAGAGAATTAATCATCCTCTTGATATAGAATGATTCAATCCTTGGTGTAGAATGATTCAATCTTCTCAAAATGGAGAGGATTATTTTTAATCTATGGGATTGAATTTACATGTCCTATTATACCTTTAAAAATTACATTAATAATTTAAATTGTATAAGCTTTAAGAAAGAATAATTTTGACCGATAAATAAATTATTCTATCGTAATCCTTACATACATCTAACACAAGATAATATGACATTATTTAATCTAATCCTATTCAAATATCATCTTATCATATCTTATCATAATCCCATGTACCAAATATATCCTAAATACAATAGAATTAATTGTCATGTGAAAAAAGTTGTAGGAGATGTGAATCTGACAATAACTTTTCTTGAACAAGAAGGAAAATTTATTAGGAAAAAATCTCCTTTTTTTTTTTTAACTAGCCTTAATTTATTAAGCATCCAAAGAGGATATTCAAAGCTGGTTTTGTTCAGCCTTAATTATTAAAAAACAAAAGGGTATATAAAGCTAGCAACTATGCTCTAAGACTAATTGAAGGTTATAAGAGATGCTTTTGTAAATGTGTGAATAGTTTTAAGGTTTATATTTGATACACTATAAGTGTATACATTTTATACTTTATTGATAAGTAAAGTTGAAAATTTAAAAGCCGTTAAGGATAAATGTCAATAAATTAGCATTTAATTACTTAAAAGATTTTTTAACTCTACCTTGTATCTTTTAACAAACAAAAGAAAAGAAAAAAATGAATTGAAAATTCTAATGAAATAGGGATTTATGTATTAGGCTTTGTAGATAGTTGAGAAACACCATTATTAGATGCAAGCAATTTTGAAAGTATTTTCAAATTAAATGATCATTCATTTCTTTTTCGCTTTTGTCATATTGGGGTTTGAGTGTTTTCTAGCAAAACTTTTACAAATTTGAGCTATAGGTTTCTGATTTTTTTTAAAGTATTGAGCTATGGATTTCTAAAATTGCTTAGTCAGATTAAGGTTTTGTTCACCTGACCTCTCGTGCTCTTTATTGACAAAGAAATATCGAAATATGAATTTGAACCTTTGTGACATTAATGGTGATATGCATTTCAATAAAAAAAAATATTGATATTAGAAGGTTTTTGTTAAAACATGAAAGATATGGTAATGTTTTTCAATGATATTTTAAGCTTTTTGAAAGTTTCTTATGAAATCCAACAATATTCAAAATAAAAATCCCATTTTTATTAATAATTTTTTTTCTTTTTTTCAATTTTCTCTGCAATTGAAAGATTGAAGAAAAGGAAAGTTCAACATAAAAAATCTTTAATTCCTTAGAAATTTTTTTGTTTAATTAAATAAATGATTTATTGATATTTATTTTCACAGGTTTTTAAATTTTAAATTTTACTTATTAAAATAACTTACTCGTTAATGAGGTGTTATCATCTGATTCACTTCATTAACGAATTGTCATCATCTGATTCACTGACAGTATATAGAATTTATACATTAATAGTGTATTAAATATAAATTCTATAAAATATATACATTAGTAGTGTATCAAATATAAACTCATTTTTTTAATACTCTTGCATTGGATCAGAGAGACATCAGAAAATGGAGCCTTAATATGAACTTATTGCATAAACTATAATTAAAATCATGACAGTGAAACATTTTCATACCTCAATAGTTAACCATACCTTTCCTTTAAAAGATCAAAAAAGAAAAAAAAAAAAGGCCTGTTAATAGTAGCTTTGATACCTTTCCCTTAATTGTTTGCCGTTCAAATTTTGTGTCAGTAGATTCATGTGTTTAAAATTTCTATGTCAAAACCAGCCTCAAGGATCCTCTTATATGTAAACCTGATCTTTTCCCATTATTCCCAAATTTCTTAAATGTAAAACCCTAAAACTTACTAACATTATACGTCTAGTCCAACAATATAGATACACTGTAAATCAGACTAACATCATTCTTGGAATTAATTTAAAGGTACTTGGCTATATTGAAACATTATTTATTGTCTCAAAATGAGTTTTGCTCAGGTTGAGATTCTAAATTTGAGAGATAATAAATAAACATTGTCAACTTACTCAAACCCATAAATGAATAATTTGAAGAAATCACTATGTTGGAAACCAAATTGCTCTATAAACTTAGCTTCTTAGAACATTGGTGAAGTAATGCTTAGTGGACCAACTAATACAACTCTGCACAAATTTTAAGTGAAATGTTTAAGTGTGAATATGAGACTATAAAATGGCCAACCAATATGAAATTAAAAATTAAATGGCCAACCAATATGAGACTATAAAATGGGACATGGATAAAACAAAATACAATCTCATGGGGCCATACACGGTAGAGAAATCTATGTTAGGTATCCCTAAGTTTATAAGAATTAAGAATTATTAATACACATTAATACATTCACTTACAAAGTATACCTCATGCCTTGGCAATGTATGTAACCATCCACTTCTTTCTTATTCACAAGGGCAATCTTCTTTTAGTATCAATGGAGCTCTGGCTTTATTTTTCTTGAAGTATGTGTACTATACATATTCAACAAATATGGTTTTACTCTTCTTAATATATGAAAAAACTTTAAAAAAATGAACGTACCAGTATGGACATATAGTCGGACTCAAGACTCATTCTCGAGTAACATAGTTTATGACTACTTTTTTTTTTTTTTTTATGTGGTTGTTTGTTAATTGCATAGATATAGAATAGTTTAGATGTCCATCACTTCATGCATTTTGAACAATGAGAGATTTCAAGCCCATGGGCAATGGAGAAGTGTAAACATCAATAAGAAACAACAGAGATCATTAATTATAAAAAAGAAGAAGAAGAGATCATTAATCATAAAAAATATGTGAACAACTGCCATACGTGCATTTCTAAGACATCATGGAATAGAAGAGATAAGAGGCAAAATAAATAATGGGGGAGAAACAGTAACTTTGATAAGCAGATAGCTAAGGCCATAAGAATAAAGATAAATTGACAAGGCAGATTTTCTACCATTAATAAACCTATGCTACTAAAAGGAGTTTATGGTGGGCTTAGTTCACTTTTTTAACATTTATATATCTTTAACTCCATAGCATATTGTAATAGCCTCTCTATATCTATTTTATATCCACCATCTCTATTTCAGAAGTCCATACATACTTGTCTAAGATGACTATATGGCACTTATATTTGTTACTGGCAAGAAACCCTAGAACAACCCTGAATTATAGCAAAAGAAGACTACCTTTGCAAACATAGGGCCTACCTTTCCATATTATATATGGTTAGAAAAATACTGAGAAATTGCTTCTTACATTACCCTACTTTGATTGCATTATATCAAAGATTCATCCCTCAATTCCGATGGTATATGCTCCTTAAACTTTATTGTGGATCAAATATTACATCATGTCATCATCTGCTTTTTTTCTTTTTTTTTGTGGGTCATACGTTAAGGTAGTTCTACTAGTGACTCAGTGTCATTCTGTTGTTATCTCAAGTATCGGGCAGGTGATTGAAAGGCGCAATCTGCAGTCAGAAAAGGTTGGCAGATTGGACCACATTCCATATCCTGAGCTGCAGGTTACAATAGTCCAACTTTTATACTTTTTGGGTGATTGTTTGTATGTTACACATACAATGAAGGTTGCTACAAGGTTAATGTAATTCAAATGTATCAATTAGGTGGATTAAGCACATTTTTTTTTGTTTTGAGAAGTTCATCTGTCACTGCCTGCAATTTTATACTATTGTCGATATTCAAACAGTAAACAGCATTAATAACTGTTCAATACAGCTTCTCTGAAGAACAATAAATATGTTCTTTTCCAAGAGGTTTTTTTTTTCTTGGATTTTCCTATCCGATATTACCATTCTAAACGTACACGTTGTTGTACTCATCTACTAGTTTTTAAGTCATTAATTTTACCAAGATACTCGGTTGAGGTTCCTAATTGATATTGACCTTGTTTTAAGTTTCAACCATATATATGAACAATTTATCACAAGAAATTGCAGTCTTGATGACAGTGTTTAATATTGTGTGAAATTAGAATGTTAACATTTTAACTTTGAACTTGTATAAAAGTACTGTACTGCATGAAAAATTAGACCGAATAGGAGTTTTAGTCCTTGAAAATGCAACTTCCTGCAGCACATTCCAATTTAAATTTAGTGTCCTTGAAAATGCCTGCTATAGAACCACATTTTTTTTTTATCCCTATTTTCTTGGAAAATGAAAACCATTTATGCTGAAGAAGCTGCTCTTTTGTTTTGTCTTAGCTTGAGAGTAGCACATATGCCGTGTTGAGCAAGGAAATAGCTGAAAAGACCCAAGAACTTAGGTAAATCTGAATATTTGCTGTTTTCTTATTGTGATATATGAGCTTCCATGATGATGTTGTGAGATCCTTTCATCGATAGACAGCTGAGGGGGGAGGACCTCCAAGGGTTAGACTTAGAAGAATTAAAACACCTAGAGAAATTACTCGAAGGAGGCCTGAGCCGAGTTACGAAAACAAAGGTTTTTGAAGTCCCATCTCCTCCAACTCACCCCTCATCCTCCCTTTCTATGCCATTTTTTCACACTCAGTTAATGAATGCTATATTGTCATGTGAAAACTTTTGCAGCTTGTGATCTAACTGTTGATGAAACTTTTGTGTTTCAGGATGAGCGATTTTTCAGAGAAATCAGCACCCTCAAGAGGAAGGTGATATACATAGTCAACTTGCAACAGCTGATAGGATTTGTACAACTTTCATAGTTAAAAGGAATAAGTTAGTGCTGCTGGATGATATGATCAAATATGGAACATGACAATTTTGCAGCTTAATTTCCCAATTGAAGATTTCTTTGGTTAATGTTGTTTGTTTTCATAGGTTGCTTGATTTATAATTTAACTTAATTCCATTATGTCAAAAAAGAAATTTGTAGAAATTAACATGTGAAGAAAGATTTAAAATAAGTTCTGGTGATATCTTAGGCAATAGTGGAATGGAAGTGGTGATGTCTTCGGATCTACTTATTCTCTATATTTCTTTCTTTCTTTCCTTGGACAATTAATCTAGTACTTAGTTCTTTATCCTTGTTGAATGTGAAGGGAGCTGAATTGATGGAAGCAAACCAGCAATTGAAACAGCAAGTGAGTGAACTCAATATTTCAAAAACTTTCTTAATTGATTCCTTCTTTCATTTGACAGCAAATTTAATTCTTGTAGATGGAGTATTTTCCTCATGAGGTCCAAGCAGTTGTAGCTCAGCAAGGCCAACCATCAGAGTTAACTACCAATATCCGGAGCTCCACAGATTCTTCTAAAGGCTATAATAGCTCTGACATTTCCCTTAGGTTGGGGTAAGTCATGTAACATTACTAAATATAAATGCATCTATAGACTATAATTTTAGATAATTTGTTTTGAAAGGCAAGGATAGAATTATTTTATTATAATGAACGAGGTCATAACCGGATAAAAAACAAAATGGCCCTAGACTGTTGCAGCCAAGCTACAAGATCATTGGACCGATAATTCTTTGATTTGGCGAGCATATTAGCAACTAAATTGGCTTCACACGAAGTTTGAGTAAAGAAACAGCCTTCAACCTAAATTTCAGATTTTCGACTTGATTAAAAATGAGTTTCCTGTGTCAGCGGAGAGCATAGTAGGTATTCGCCCAAAGGACATTATTCTTGGAAAATCAGATTTTAGGAGCCTTACTCTTACATAGTGTATGGCTCCATTGCTAGCAATCCGATAGCTCAAATAATGGATCCAGAGTTCCATGAACTTACCACTTTGATAGATTGATAGCTAATTTTCTGTGTAAAGCTAAAAGATTGGAGTTGCTTTACAATATTGGTACATGGTACTGCAAAGACTTAATTGCTTCTCTTTCTGCCGTAGCTTTACCTAAGTGTGTTTTTGAATGCCTTCTTTCAGGTTACCTTTCCCCGAATGACTGTTGAAAGGTTAGAGGGGATGCTGTCAAGAAGTGATCGTCACCTTGCATAATCTTTTCTTTGAAGGCGTGTCTCAGTGTAAATATAGAACATGGCCCGTGTGTGTATAATGTTTTTATATTTCTATAGGCTCAAGATAACCAATTTATAGCAGTCAATTAAGTTTATTGATGAGTCAGTAATTTGTTTTTGGAAAAAGTTTATTACAATAAAAGTGGGGTTTGCATGCCTAGTTAAGTGTATAAATATACGAGTCATTTGATGATCTCCATTAAAAGTAGGGTTGTAAGTGTTGGAAAAGGCTGCATATACAGTATTGGCAAATTCCAGCACACTGGAGCTCAACGAAAGAATGTTAAATATTAGCCTTATTCCTGGAGAATGGAATTAAATCTTGAGAAGAAACTTAAGACTTTTTACATCCGGTTAGTTCAAAAGATTGGGTTGTAAATTATAGATGTATTTGAAATCCACTGCCATGTTTGTAACTTTGTGGTTTGTAGTTTGTAGCAGTGATCATGAGCAAATGAGCAGTAAAGTGCAAACACTGCAAGCTCTGCGACTCAAATGGTTTGATTTTGAATGTCCTATGCGACAGATCAAATTCCTGGCGAAGACAAGATGGATTAAATTCCTGATGTTCATCTGGAGATCATAAAAGAGCACCAGATTTTTCTATGTGGTCAAATTGTTTGCATGTTAATTTCTGAAATCGTAATCTACTTTTTCCCTCGGAAAACAACTTGATATTATCATCTAAATCGATATAAAAGTTTGTAAAGTTGTTTACTAGACTAAAGAGAAATTAAACGTAAAAAAAAAAAAGTCTAAACTGGGAAAATGAAAATAGGGAAAAAGAGGTAAATTGTAAAATTTTTATCTTTCTCCCTTGGCCTTGAGATTGAAAGGGTCAGTAGTCATACGGGGGAAACGCTTGGAGCGAAGGCCACTCTCTCCAATGCTTGGACGCCAAAGAAAAACTCGAGATACCCATCCACGTGTTGTTCTCAAAGTGCTCCATGCATGCCACGCGCATAAAATAGCGTGAATTTAGTACTTTCCGAAAGCGTTTGTCTCGTTCCTTCCCGCTAAAGACCTGTTCCAAACTCAAAGCTCACAAAACCCAACTCTCTCTCTCCTTTTAATTTCACTTCCCATTCACTCTCTCTCACTCTCTCACAGCAAAAAACAAAAGAAAAACATAATTAAAAGGAAAGATTGAAATTGTAGAAAACCTTGTGATCAGGATATTCAGCCATGGATGAAGAGTACGATGTCATAGTCCTGGGGACCGGCCTTAAGGAATGCATTCTCAGTGGTCTTCTTTCCGTTGATGGACTCAAAGTACGTCCCTTATTAGTTTCTCACTCTTCTTTCTTTGTTTAATTTTTATTGCTTACATGTTTCAAAGCAATTTGCAATCTGGGTTTTCTTTTAGGAATCATGGGCACCCAGCTTTTTGCCCCTCTTTTTCATTTTTGGATGCAGTAGTTCAATTTCTAGATAGGCATTAACAGCCTGAATCTCTGCATTTTAAAACAGGTATTGCACATGGACAGAAATGACTATTACGGTGGAGAGTCGACTTCTCTTAATCTTACACAGGTCATTCGTCTTTGATCAAATGATGGGCTTTTTTTTTTTTTTTGAAACCTTTTCTGTTAAAACATTCCTAGCTATTTGGTTCATCTGACATTTTCCTTTGACATTTTCTGAAATTTTGTCTTTCTGTTGCATAGCTTTGGAAACATTTCAGGGGAGATGACAAGCCGCCAGAACAGCTGGGCACAAGCAGGGAATTTAATGTTGACATGATTCCCAAGGCATGCAACAACCTCCAAATTTACCTATGTTATTTTGTAGTTTTCTTAATTTCCTGTTGGATGCATATTTTAGGTTACACTTCATATATGTTTCTAAGTTACGAAGTATCTCTGTCATTTTGGTTAATTTTTGTAACATAATTAAATATATGTGATTGAAACTCTATTTCATTTTTACCTGGATTAGTATAAATTCTGCAATTTATTTTTCTTTGTTTAGGGCACTGTGTGTTTAAAATGTGCACTGACAAACTATTTACCCAATGACTATGATATCTTTGTGCTGGTTAGTCATGTTTTGTGATGAAAGCTTAATTTGGTTTCACAGTTCATGATGGCCAATGGCAGTCTGGTTCGTATTCTCATCCACACGGATGTTACCAAGTATCTTAACTTCAAGGCTGTGGATGGTAGTTTTGTGTACAACAAGGGAAAAGTAAGAGTGTTACAGTTTTTTTGTATCATTTGTTTTCTAAACATTAGCGCAAACATTGTTCGATTGCAATCAACAACTTGAAAGCATTATCATAACTTGTAGATCTACAAAGTTCCAGCAACTGATGTTGAAGCACTGAAATCACCATTGATGGGGCTGTTTGAGAAGCGCCGTGCCAGAAAGTTCTTCATTTATGTCCAAGACTATGAAGACAATGATCCAAAATCTCATGAAGGACTAGACCTGAATAAAGTAACGGCGAGAGAACTTATCTCGTATGTATCTCATCCATCTTTCCCTCTAAAAAGCTTGCTCTAGCACTTTCATTGACTGCAAATGTAATAATATATGCAATGGTTATAAATTGTGTGTTTAGACTTGTAGGTTAAACTTATTTCTTAAATTCTAACTAAAATGTTACTTGATTTACCAATTTTTCTCTTACAAAAAGGAAAGTATTTTAATTTTTTATTTTTTTTTCATGACATTTGGTTTCTTTTACCTGTTTTTTGCAAGGAAGTTTGCGCTTAGGAATTTCTTTTTCCCTTTTGAGAAGGGTTGTTTGCTTTCTAGGGGGAAGATATGACATATTTGAAGGATTATCCCTGCTCAGGATCATTAATATTACTTACTCTAATTGTCCTATCCATTAGCTACTATTAGTTACAGTTTACTGGTCTTGATGGATGCTAATTTTTGCAATGTAGAAAGTATGGCCTGGAAGATGATACAATTGACTTTATTGGTCATGCCTTGGCACTCTACAGTGATGATAGTTACTTGGATCAGCCGGCTTTGAATTTTGTTAAGAGAATGAAGGTAAAAGTTTGTTTCATATCATATATATTCATCTTTGTAATACAGGTAATGGATGATTCTTATTGTCCATGCTCCATTACACTGGTTGGAAGAAACCAAATAAACCTTTTGCTTGGGCCTTTTTTTAAAATTCATTCTGCTTAATCTCATTCTTCGGTGGCCGCACATACCTTTTTTATCATTATATTCAGAGTATTTCTGCATTTGTTTTTTGTATAGCTCTATGCAGAGTCTTTGGCACGGTTCCAAGGAGGATCTCCTTATATATATCCACTATATGGACTGGGAGAATTACCTCAGGTTTGTCATTATCTGTAGTTTTCTTTCTTGTTTAATAGAAACATTTGTCAGTTTGACTTGTTATTGTGTCTCTATTGGCAGGCATTTGCGCGTTTAAGTGCAGTTTATGGTGGTACTTACATGCTCAACAAGCCAGAATGTAAGGTAAATCTCTCAGAACATTTCGCAAACCAGAATGTAATTTGCTTTGTTTTCTGTAAGTTCGCCATTGAGTCCTTTAGGGGTTAGATGCTCATAATTGTCAAGCAGTACTATACCACCGTTGTGCACCCATTTGAGTAACCCTATATGGTGATTATCCTTATAATTTGGGATTAACATTATATTTTTCACATTGTGTGTAACGCCCCAATCTCATAATGGAAGAATGTGGGGATAAAAAATGATATATATGTGTAGAGATCTAAACCCAAACTTGTGAGGTGCTTTTTGTGAGACAAAATCGTGAGACATTCCAGTGCGAGTCTCCACAAATGGTATCAGAGCAATCACCAACTCACCAGCTCGCCATGGGAGTTATTAAGTGCTACAGGGAGCCACTTTTAGAATGCTACGCTCGACGTTGTAATGCCCCCCATCTCACATTGAAAAAATCTGTGAATAATATATATTGAGAGTTATTAAGTGCTACATGATGGGAAGCCACCTCTAGAATCCCAACGACGAACATTGGAAGACTTTGTGAATAAATATATATGTAAAGATCTGAGGCCATGAGAGTCATTAAGTGTTACATGACGAGCGACCTCTAGAATCCCAATGATGATGAGGAGCCACCTCTAGAATGCTACGTTTGAGGTCGTAACGTCCCTAATCTCACATTGGAAGAATGTGTGAATAAGAAATTATATATACGTAGAGATCTAAAACTAAACTTGTGAGATTCCTTTTGTGAGATAAAATCGTGAGACTTTCGGGTTAAAGCAAATAATACCTCACAAGTTGGGTGCGGGTCTCCACATTGTGTTTTTCTCATTTTGAACGTACTCTAGTGATTGCTAACTTTGTAACATATATCTGATAATTTATTCTTCAAATTGTTTTTAAATGTCTTGTTTTTGAACTGTTTCTCATTTTGAACATACTTAAAAATCTTGTTTTTTGGGTTGCAGGTAGAATTCGATGGTGATGGGAAAGCTATTGGTGTGACTTCCGAAAGAGAAACTGCTAAGTGCAAGAAAGTTGTTTGTGATCCATCTTATTTGCATGATAAGGTAACCTCCGAAGAAACCATTCCTCTCTTTTTTCTTTTATGCATCCTCAAGAACTAATTATAGCTACTTTTTCTCTCATGTCTTTTTCAATGCAACAGGTTCAGAAGGTTGGAAAAGTTGCGCGTGCTATATGCATAATGAGCCACCCTATTCCTTGTACCAATGATTCTCACTCAGCCCAGGTTATTCTGCCTCAGAAGCAACTTGGTCGTAAATCAGACATGTATGCTGCTAACTTTCTCAGCTAATTTCTAAACAATGAGTGGCCAAAACAGAAATACTGATGCAAATGCAATGATTAAATTCAAAATAGTGTACGTGTATGTTCGTATAATCCTATCTGGAGTTTTCACTCCACACATACTGTTGTCATAGTTTTAGCTTCACCAATTTGAGTATTTTTGTTCACCGTAAAATGCTTATGCATAGATGTTCAAAAGCTTGTTGAAGCCTTCTTGGAATCTTGAGGGCCAAAGTAAAAGGCAAAGCATAAAGTGAATGTCGGTGAGAGGTTTTACGTGCTTCAATACTGGTGAAAAGAGAATGAGAGTTGTGAGAAGAAAAACTCCATATTAAGTAATCAAGAGCATTTCAAGTCACTGACCTCTGGTAACTTCTAAGGTTTATTTTTGTACTACAGGTACCTCTTTTGTTGCTCATATGCTCATAATGTAGCTCCCAAGGGAAAATACATTGCTTTTGTTTCAACAGAAGCAGAGACTGACAACCCCGAGGTAGAGTTGAAGCCTGGCATTGACCTACTGGGTTCTGTAGATGAGATATTCTATGACACTTATGACAGATATGTCCCCACTAACAACCATGAAGCTGACAACTGCTTCATATCTGCTGTAAGGAGACTTCTATCTCTATTGCTTTGCATATTCTTAGGAGAAAATATTGAATGGAAGTACCAAAGGCAACTTTTCCCCTGGATTTCTTTCTCCTATTGTAGCATCTTTGTCGAATGAAACAGTGCTTTCATTAGGTCAGATTTTCACCTTTATCTTCAGAACGTAGTGTTCCTGATTGGAGTTTTAAATTTCTTGCAGAGCTATGATCCAACGACACACTTTGAAACCACCGTGAACGATGTGATCCAGATGTATAGTAAGATTACTGGAAAGGTAAGGGTTCATAATGTTTTTGACTTTCATCTTACTGCATTTCGGTAGTAAAACTAACATATCTCCCTCCTTAATCTCTGTTGCAATGATTGATTCACTTATCAGTCTTCCCGTGTTGCACAGGCGCTTGATTTATCTGTGGATCTGAGTGCTGCCAGTGCGACTGAAGAATGAAAATCTTCAAACCTGTTGCTCTCAAATCTCATGCAAAATCATTAGCAGAGAAGCTTCAATTGTCTTTCTGTTTCGTCAGATATTTTAGATGCAAAAATCAAAAGTACATTCATTTCTATATAATAATATAATAATAATTTTTTTTTGTCATTGTAGCTGCTATAAGTGCTTTATCCCAAAATCATGACTGGGTTGCGTAACATGCTTTTGAGCCTACATCACAATTTTGATTGCCTTTTACATAATTTTTTTTTTCTGCCAGCATGCTGCATGATGGTTACTGTCATTCAACTGAATAAAAAAATATACCTATCACCAGATAATGTGTATAACATTTTTCTTATTCCAAAATCATTAAATTCTGCATGTTTCTTCTTCATGTCTCAACTCTAACATCTTACCTTACAAAATACTATAATTAGTAGAATCCTAGAGAAAAGCATAGAATATTTTTTACATTCAGTTTTTTATTTTTTTAATTGATCACATACGTATAAAATATAAAATTATTATATTATAATTTATGTTGATATGTTAATTATAAAATATATATTTTATATTTTATCAAACTAAAATATAATTTTTACTAAAATTTTAAATTATTTCAATTTCTTTTTTTTTCTTTAAAATTACAAATCTACTTTTTCCTTCAGTTTGTCCTTCATACTGCTTTAAGAAACCACCATTTATACCATAGATACCATGGTCAAATTATTTTTGACTTTTCCTTTTGTCTATTAACCGATTGATAACCGGTGATGTGACATGCCACGTCAGAAAGCGCTACTTAAGGAGCTTCCTGCAGAACTTTCCCTTCGACTGGGCTAAAAAAATAAGAAATAGTTATCCATTTAACTGGGCTTAAAAAAAAAAAAATTCTGGACAGGAGTCAAGCCGGGGTGCATATAAAAGGAAAGTAGTGAACGCATGCGAAAGTGTACGGAGTATGGGTCCCACTAAAACAGTCTGTGACCTGTCCAGAATTCTTCTCGTTTTCAGCCATCGTTTGTTCCTTCTTCTGGAAGAAACCGCTAGTCATGCACTGAACTGAATGGTAGTTCTCTAGTTGATCCAGAAAAAAAAAAAATCATTCTCGAATTGATTTGATTTGATTTGGTGAGTTGAAAGGCGGGGTTATAATGAGTCGGAAGGCGAGTCAAAAGAGCAAGCTGTTTGACATTTTTGACTTCGCCGACGAGGACGAGAGAGTTGAGAGGGAGTCCACCGAGATTCTAGGAAGGTTTAAGAAACCTAAAAGATGCCGCAAGGCACCTTTTCCTCTCAACAAATACAAGTTTCTTCAGCGCTGTAACTTTCTCTCTTGTTTTCTATTTGTTGATTTGAATTCATTGGTGATTACTCTGTTTGGTCCCGAGAAACTGCGGGAAAAAGTCATAATATGAATTTTGATATATCTAACGTGCCACCTGTTTGGTTTATTCTAATTTTCTCTTTTCGTTTTTCTTTTCCTACTTAATCTTTATGTTTCCTTTTTTTTTTTTCAATTATTTTGCCTCAATGTTGTTAAATATGGCTCTGTTTTTTTTTTTTTTTTTGTTTATTATTATTATTATTATTATTATTATTATTATTATTATATTTGAGGAAAAAAATGGTGGAATTTTAAAAAAAAAAAAACAACTTTGACACATCAATTTTCCTTTTATATTTCCTGGTTAACAAACACACCATAATCTAATGCATTCACTTGGGCTTATACGACTACGGATCCATTCCATTTGCGTCAGTGTCTTGTTAACTTGTTTGTTAAATGCCCTTGGCTTGTGTAACTATATAGTTTTTGTATGTATGTTTACTTAACAACATTTTCCTCTCCTTTGTAGTTACCCGGCAAAATGAAATTAGCAACAGAGCAATTGATCTTGACCTCGAAGGTATGGAGTTGGTTTAGGCTTAGTGTCATTTTTACTCTTTTGTCCATGCTTTCTTGTGTAATATATATCTGTTCAATTGTTTTCTGTATTCTTGTTCACTAGTAGCGGATTGCAGCAGGGCCAAGCGAAAGCAAATTAGCAATCGGCCAATTGCTCTAGATTCTGAAGTTACAGAACCTCATTGTGGGTTGTTTTTGCTATTTTTAATTTCCTTTTGTTTCTTTCTGAGTTACGACTTTGCATAACTCTTTTTGTATGATTTTATATCGTGAGTTGGTTACTGGACACATATTTCCCCTGTATCGCACAACATATTTGTGAAATTCCTTTTTTCAGTGTTTCTTTGATTTTTAGCTCCTTGTTTTATGGCTTAGAATTATTGCTTGACTCTTCTATCCATGGTTTGTTATATGAGATGTAAATGTCCAATCATGGTCTCCTCGAATCCAAAAGCTATTTTTCTCTATTTGACCTCTAATTGATTTCTGTGCACTTGTAATTTCCCTTTTTTTGCATTTATAATTTATTAATGGAAATTTTCATCGCTTTTGATGCTTTTCTTGCTTGTTTGTGTTGGTTGTCTATTTCCCAACAGGGGAGGAGCAATGGGGTGGGGTGGGGTGGGGTTGGGTGAGGTGGGGGTGGGATTGGAATTAAACATGTAGCTTTAAAGGAGAGGTATTGCTATTAATTAGGCCTGACCATGTTTTGATGTTGTTATTTCATTACCTGTTTTCATGATGGCTGCCATAGTGCCACGGCAATGGACATGTGTGTTGTAATGACACATTTAGTAATTACTTTAGCTTTTAATTAGCTTTTCTGTTGATAGGTTTTATATTTCCAGCCTTATTCATGCTGTTAAGGAATATGTGAAGTATAAACAAAAAGATAGTTGGGGTTTGAATATTAGAGTAAGACAAATATATGGAATAGTTAGAAAGGGTGTGAATGAGAAAAGAATAGAGTTATTCTTTGTATTGAATTACTCATGCAATAATGTTTATGTAACACCTACGTTTCTTTTGTGTTTATTTATAGTTTTACAAAGTCGCAATACTTGGGAAAAGAAAAAGTTTGATGGACCAATTGATGTCGACGCTGAAGGTATATGACATCAGTTTGCATCTTCATTATCAATGTTAAAGTTTCTAATGTCCTTCATGTAATTTTGTAGAAGTGCAAGCAACCAAGACTGCACAAAAGGGCAGTGTTACAGGTCGCTCGGTTGCTGGTGTTACAGGTCAGCAATCCACCTTTCCTGCAAACTGTCCTAAAAACATGAGAGAAGAGGAGATTCTTGACTTGGACACCCCGTTGTGGTCTTTTTCTTCAAACTATGAGGTATACTAGCACCTTCCTGAATTATCTTGAGCAAAATAGCAAATCTAATATGCTTCAGACTGCAGTGAATATTTTAAACGCCACTCTAGCTATATTCTCTATGTGATAAATGAAACTTCTCACACTGAAATGCTTGCAAGAAAACCATAATGAGTCTTGAACCTCCCAGTTATTGTTCAATTAAATTTGCTGCAGAATGAGCGAGTTGGTATGATTTTAGATGATGATAACTGGATCAAAATGAATTCTTCATCACCTTCTGCTTCTTCTCATGTAGAGTATGGAGGTTTTTACCTTATCCTTTTAAATTTTGCTCCATAAGTTATGATACCTCCTTTTCTTAAGTGTCATGTATCAGCTTGTGATCTTATACGACATTCTACCTCTCTCAGATTCTCCAGAGGAGCAACTTTCAGTTCATGATTCTGATGTACATGAAATTGTAAGTATAGTGCCCTCCTTTGTAGTATTGATGGCTGTTTAGAGGGTTGTTATTAAAATACTAACCACCTGTCAAATTCATGTGTATAAGATTAGACTTAGCAATAAAAATGTATGTACAAAATGTAGCAAATTATGTTGTATATGTGGATGCTTGGAGTTAACATTTTTTTTGGATATTATGGTGATCTCCTGTATAAAAAATCTTCAATTTTTGGTGCTTCAGATTGCCCTCAGAAATTCATCAATATGTGGACGCAGAGTTAAATCCTTCATTATTATGGCTATTTTCTGCTTGTTGTGTTGTGGATTAAGATTGTATTATTTTACATTTGTTTACAAGAATTAGCTGTTGACTTGTTTACACTTTACAAATTGTCTCTATGAATTTTTTTTCTTTCATATTGTTTACCAGAATGGCAGAATCAGTTGTTTTAAAAAAAATTTCTTATTGCACATTGTGTTTATCTTTTATGGTAATAATATCATTGTATTATTTTACATTCGTTTAGCAGAATCAGTTGTTGACTTGTTTACACTTTACATATTGTCTCTACGAATTTTTTTTCTTTCATATTGTTTATCCGAATGGCAGAATCAGTTGTTTTAAAAAATTTTTCTTATTGCACATTGTGTTTATCTTTTATGCTAATATCGCTTTTCATCACAGGACTTTTTATTTATTTTTTAACTTGCAGGAAAAAGAAAATTTGAAAGTTGTCATTTCCCCTGATTTTATGATGTGTAGAGGTATGTATTGCACAGAGGGTCAGTTAACTTTTTCAAAAACGTTCCTCAAGTTTGAGGGCTTGAGTGTGAATGGGATAAAGAATAAATTTAGTTTTATATGGACTCTCGGTGATATCATCAGTATTGAAGCAGAATGGTGTGAAAAGGTGTGTTAGAAGAGCGGTTCATTCTATCTGTTTCTTTAAAATTTTAAAGATATACTCTGAGAAGATTATCTTTGAATTTCTTATGCTGCTGGACATAGGTTGAGACAGCCATCATGAATCTTGTCCTACAATCAAAGAACTTTGGAAGAGCTGGAAATGCAAATGAAACTTCAGGTTTGCTAATTTTCATAAATGATTTGCAGTGAACTTTTTTTTTGGGTGTAGCATGTGTTTCATGCTCTGAGAGATTGTACCTAAACTCCAATTAAACTTATATATCCATAAATCTGACCTCTTTTTGAAATATCACCCTTTATAGCTGTCTGCTTGCATCATAACCTCATATGTGCATCATTTTTTTTTTTTTGTGTGCCTTCTCTAAGAAATTGTCTTCAACTTCTCTGCTTTCACTAGGAATTATTTTAGGGGAAGCTCTGATCTCATTTATCGGTTGTTCTTTCTCATCAATAAATTTTGAACTAGGATAGTCTTGATTGCTGCAGTCATTGAGTCGTTGAAGTTTTCAGTTTATGATCCTTGTTGGTCTGAAAGGCAGGAAGCAATCAAATCATTGAGTGTGAGATACAAGGATATATGGAACACTCTTTCTGAGTAAGTTTTCTACTAATTTAATTGCTTACCAAGTTGTTTCACTTTTTTCAACGTAAATGCAGAGAGTGATGGTTGGTTTTCTTGAATTAGAGTATATAGGCATTTGATTTTGTCCAGCCACATAAGTAGTATTCTCTCTCCCTGCCCTTAACAGAGAAACAGGGGTCTTGTATATATCACTTTGTTTGATTTTTTTTTTTGTTGGTGTTGTTGTATAGCTTAGATTCTTGCTTTTTTCAGTGTTTTTGGCTTTCACTGTGTATTAGTCCCTTCTCCTAGTGTAACTTCCTATTTATGTATGAATGAAACTTTTTTTTTTTTTGTGGTTTAATTGCATAGATTTAACCATTCATGTCCTGCAGCAAAAATATAGAAAATGCCTTCATGGGACAGAATAGCAGGTTTTTTTCAAAGCCATATATTTCTGAGTAAGTTGAAGAAAGTTTTATGTTATTTTTGTATTTGTTACTGGTTGAGAGAGAACCTCTGATAGTAAATGGTTTCTTAATGCATTTTAATGGCCTTTTCATTTGATGATTAATGATGCTCTATATCCTTTTCCTTTTGGAGGTTCAAGCTCTATTTCATTTTGGGTTTTAGGGATTTAGGTGTCTAAACCTCCCTCCCTTCCCAGAACCCAGAAAAAAAAAAAAAAAGGAGAGAGGACAATATATGCTCTCAGTCTGAAGCATAATATCTCTCTAAATGCCTTTACCATTGTTTTTGTTTTAGTTAGACTATAGTTGTGGTATGTTTTAGTCCTTGCTCTTTCTTTGAAGCAGTTTCAAGAAGCATCAAGATATATTCCCATTTGAAAGTACTATTTCCAAAATTTTATCATAGAGTGAATTAGGAGGTAACCTTAAAGTATCAGTATTGGATATGCATGTTATGCCAGTCATTCTTTTTATAGGAATTCTTTTCCTTCTGTATATGTATGTGTGTGTATAATTTAGTGTTAAAACTTTAAACCGTTTAGCTGTGTTTTTTATAAACTGCTTAAAACATTTTTTTTTTTTTTTTGAGAATCTGCAATTGAAACATCTAACTAATTTGTTGTAAAGTTTTCATGAAAATTTTAAAGAAGTAATCTATCCGAAAGGTGATCCTGATGCTATTTCAATTAGCAAGAGAGATGTGGAACTTCTTCGCCCAGGGACATTCATCAATGATACCATCATTGACTTCTATATTAAGTAAGCTTGAAATGTAAATTCCATGTTCTTGGTTTTCTTCTTCCTGTTCTGAATGTTAAGCCTTTTTGTTAGATCTTGTATGTGCTAGTTTTAGTTCAACCTTTAGGATTCATATATGAAATACATATGTGCGATATAGTGATGGGATTAGAAACGTCTCCGTAGCTATTCTAAAAGTTGCATTTTCACATCTAGTGTATATTTTAGAAATCTCTTGTTGTCATTATAATTATGTCTTCTTGATGTAGTCTAAGTAGTTCTTTTGACACTTTTGCAGCAGCATTCATTTTTGTTTCCTTTCAAGAAATTTAGTACTTTGTACTTTTCAAAATGGTGATCTGGGCTTATGCAATAGACATAACTGAAACTATCATCTCAAGGATCGAAAGTTAAGTCTCTGATTAAACATCATAAACATGATAAATGTCTAAGTGCCTGAGAGTTAATGAGAAACCTTCCTTACGATCAGTTTATGATCCCAAACTGTTGTATTAGTTTCTGGGTTGGATCTATTTCCTGATTTAAAATGTCTGATGTTTGGTTCTGATTCATTGACAGATATTTGAAGAATAATATTCAACCCGAGGAACAACATAGGTTCTACTTTTTTAATAGTTTTTTCTTTTGCAAACTTGCTGATCTGGATAAAGGTTTATCTAGTGCTTGTCAAGCCAGGGCAGCATTTCAACGTGTTCATAAATGGACAAGGAAGGTGGATATCTTTGAAAAGGATTACATTTTCGTTCCTGTAAATTACAGGTGATAAACCTTATCTTTTTTTTTTTTTCATGGTACAAGAGAACAATCTTTTATGTAGTTCTCTAATATGAGTTACGAACACATCTCTGTGACAGTCTTCATTGGAGTCTGATTGTCATCTGTCATCCTGGTGAAGTGGCTAATTTCAAAGGCAAGATCATAATAGAGTGTTTCAGCATATTGTAGCAACTAGAATTATCTCCACTTTTACCTTATTTTCAGTTGTCTTGCAGATGATGCAAGTGAAAAATTACTTAAAGTCCCTTGCATCTTGCACATGGATTCAATCAGAGGAAGTCATAGGGGCCTTAAAAATCTTTTCCAGAGGTAATTTCTTCATGATTAGTTTCTTAAGTAGTTAAGATGTTATTGCTTTGTTTGCAACTTGAGACTGGAAAAAACCTTTCGAGGGCTTTCTTGTCTTTTTTGTGTGCATGTGTTTTCACTGGCATTATTACCAAAATAATAGTTAGTTTCAATGAGTTTTCTGAGTTCTATGCTTACTTTCTAATCTTACTAGCTTGTTTGAGCAAGACAATCTTTCACTGGACTGTAAGCAAAACATCATGACTTGCAATATTGGAAAATAATTATGTTTCTATGTCCATACCAGGTCTATCTCTTTGAATTTATTTGAGCATTTGTTCTTCCAATGTGCATTAACTACCTTTTACTCTCTCTTTTTTATCTGTTTTAAGGAAAAATAGTAGCATACCATTACTCTGTCATTAACTTATTTGACAGTTCTTGAGGACCAAAACCTACCGTTGATGAATGACAACCATTGATTGTTGTCTATATCTGAAAGTAATAGAATGAAGAAACACAGAAATTGTTGGAGAAATGATCTGACATATGTTATTTTAAGAAGGAGCTATCTCAAAATTGTCTGCTCTGTTTGAAATAGTCATTTCTCTGCTTTTAAAAGATCTTACTGTTGATATTATTTCCCTCATTTTTTTGTCATGAGATGACAGTTACTTATCTGAAGAGTGGAAACAGAGGAATAGAGAGGCAGCAGATGATGTTGCTTCAAAATTTTTAGATCTACCGTTTGTCCCACTAGAGGTATTGCTCCTCTTTGTATCCCTTTCATTAAGTTACCCTACCCCCCCCCCCCCCCCAAAAAAAAAAAAAAAAACCGGTGCTAAAAATTTCTGACTCATCAATAGGAAGTTATTTTGGGGCCAACTTTAAAATTTCAGTATTGGAGAATTGAGGCTGAGGAAAAGCACATAACTGTATTTTTGCATAGCATTGTTTCATCTCGGGTGTCAATTCACATGATATGTCACCTGGTTTTATTATAAAGCATTCTTTCACATTTGCAAACCTAGTTTGACTTTTTTTTTTTTTAATTTTCCTTCTGTATGATTTAGCTTCCACAACAGGAAAATTCATTTGACTGTGGCATCTTCTTGCTGCATTATGTGGAACTCTTTCTTCTTCAAGCACCAACTAACTTCTGCCCTTTTAAGATAACAAGATCCTCCAACTTTGTAAGTTCTGTCATTGCTTTCTACAAGACTTAGAACTTGCATAATATTACTCTTGTTGTGAGAAGTATGTTGTTGTTTATGACTTTACCATTTTACTTGTTATTACTGCTTGATTGTCTCTGCTTGCTGTCATCTAGTCTTTCTACTGCAAATGACTTGGGAAAGTAATTATTGCTGCCATCTAGTCTCCATCCTATCTTACTTGTATATCACCTATTTATCACAGGGAACTCAAACTTTTCCAAAAAAAATTGTAGGTAAGATTTCATTTGTATTGTTCACCTTTTCTAATATTATCTGACCTTTTTCAGCTTAATATGAATTGGTTTCCACCTGCTGAGGCTTCTTTGAAACGCTCTCATATCAAAAAGTTAATCTATGAAATCCTGGAGGAACAATCCCACAGTTCCACGTCAGCTGATTGCATCTATAAATACTCATCCTCCCTCTTACCCGACCGAAGTGAACAAGAAACTGGAGTACAATCTATCGAGCAGATTGGCAGTTCTTCAGAAACATGTCATGATCATTCCTCAAATTCCAACATTATGGAGGGGTCTAACAAAAATTCCAACATTATGGAGGGGTCTAACAATTTTGCATTCTCTGCTGCATCCCATACGACAGTTCTACAAGGCCTTAAAGCCTCAGTATTGGAAATTTTTGATTGTTATGAGGTGGGAATATGTGGGGGATTGCTCTCCCATGGAAATTCTCAGCAGATTAATACACTTAGTCAAAGAAACGCTATGTCACCTATAGAGGTAACCTTTTGTTTCTTTATTACCAATAAGCTTAAAGCATGATATAAGATCAATTTGCTAATGAAAAATAGGTAACGTGTGAATCTCCTCTCTCTCTCTGTTGCATCAATGGAAACTTTACCATACAAAATATAAGCCGATTCACTAGCTTTTTGTCATTGTTTTGTAGCCACGTCTTCGTCCACCAAATGAAAAGGAATGTTGCTAATGAGATGGAGCATGCTCACACTTATCCAATATCCATCAAGTTGTTGTCATTCTTAGTTTTTTTTTTTTCCCAGCCAAATAAATAACAATATTGGTTAACCCTCAATGTGTCACTGACTTAAACGAAGATTAAGTCAGTGTGAGGTTTCTTCTCATATTTGTGGATTCATTGAGTTCTATCAAGTCCTGCAGCTCCTTTTGCTGCTTCTTATGAGACTGCCTTTGATGGAATAGAGGTCTTGATTTCCCCTCATTCTGTTATTTCTACTCTGGTGGCTTCACATCTTTAAATTCTGCTAATATGAGACTGTTAATTATGTCAAAGTTGCCAACGAGATTCTGTTAGCAAGGGAGAGTGGGTAGGAGGGAGGGTGGTTGAATTTTGGTTGGCCCACATGACTCATAACATGTAAAGAAAAAGCAGTATAATTTTTTTTATTGATAATTTTGGCCTGAAATAGTTGCACTTTTTTCTGCTTGAAGCAGGAAACAGAAGAGACAAGTGAAGAAATTGCTGCTGATTCGCCCCCAGATCTAGATGGTCAGCAAGTTGCTGGATCGGTAACTGAACCTTGCTTATTCATGAGATATCGTAGGAATGACGTTAGAGTATTAAGAACATCATGGAACCAACAGAAGCCATTGCATTTCAAGGATTCAGCTTTCAACAAGTCGAGTGATTCTCTGGATTCATTAGCGATAGTGCTAGAAGATACTCAACCTCTTCCAGAGTTTGAGGTATCCTCCCATGTAGGGGAAACTGATAAAACTGTATCTTCCTCGACCTCAAATGAAGGTTACTCTGATTGTATTGTTGAAGATTCTCAAGAGTCGAGTGGCATGCATGACGACATTGAGAATGCATGTTCCCCTTTCTACTTTCATAGGGGTATTTCTGCTCTATCCCATCAACAGGCAGATTTGACTGCTAAATTTGATCTTAAAGAAAATTCCATACTAAAGAGTGAAGGAAGGCGATGAACAACCAGTCACAAAAGTTCCAGAGGCATATACTTCTTGGTGTAGGAAAGCATGAAGCCTTTTGAAAGAATTGCATTTGTGATGGCATTGCCAATGGTGTTGTTAGCACCAAAAAAAATGTAGATTGAAGGGCTGGTAAACTGTGTCCAAAAGGCAAAAGGAGGAGTTAAAACTGTTTCTGGTGGCAACTTCTTGTAAATCGTAAAAGGGTACTAGTTTTCCAAAAGTGGCAACTCCTGATAATTACTACTACTATATCATGTTTTATTCTTGTACGAAATGAATACCTTTTTAGATTACTGATTTCTGCCATGGAGTTGTTTGATATTGATTCTGGAGTTTACAGTTTATACCAATACTTTAATTTGGAGAATGGCTTAGAAAAAAATGCAGAGAAATATTTTTGTCAAAACTTGGCAGCCATTTGCAACTCATTGCCGATTACTAGCTGGTAGACATAATAGTGAACAATGAACATTCAACCATATTGTGGGTGATTTTAGGTTTCTGATTTAAGATTTTTCAGGTTAAATCTTCTACTGAAATAAAGGACTTTTCAGCATGTAGGGGGAGTGCAGTTAACTTGTTTAAGTTTAATATCCTTCGACTAAGATAAAGGACGTTTTAGAATCAAGGCATTGAAGCAAGAGATAAATGGCTGAATATGACTTGTTCAGCAAGTAAACTGCGAAGTGGTTAACCTAAGCATATTGTTCCTGTGCGATTGATGATCATTGAAAACTTGAAAATGGCCAAGTAATGAGCAGCTGCTGCCTTTTGCCAAAAAACAACTTTATTCTGACTTACTTACCCTTCTAAAAGTTAATCTAGCAATTCTTAGTATGCTTTCAAAGCCATGATTTAACTTGGCAATTCATCCATGCTCCTCATAAATCATGCCTAATATTTGTGTGAATGTGAAAAATATTAAGAACAATGTGCATTGTCAGTAAGAAGTGTTTGTTGCTAACTCTAATGATTTTGCACATTGGACGTCCCAAGTTGAGAACTCTCATGCATTAGCATCGCCAATTTATAGGCGGTTTTTCTTGTTTCCTTTAATAGGTTCAATAATTTTTTGTTGTTCTTTTTTACAAAAAAAAAAAATTAGATTGAGGGGAGTTTTTTCCAGTCAGGGTCAGGCCAGATTGCAGAACTGAGGGAGGATTTATATTTCAAGTTTTTTTAATTATATGGAACATTGCAATTAGCCAGCAAATTCTAAAACCCATGTTTTTTTCCTTTGTTATAACCTAAATTGTAAAATCTAAATATATTTATTACCTATTATAAGATATGATTCTATTTTATCCTAGGCCCATTTAGTTAGAGTTCTTGAAAAACAAGTGTCGGCCGCAAAAAAAAAGGTGTCGGGTGATTCTTTATGCATTCGTGCATATGTAGAAGATTGTTTCCTTTCTAAAGTTACCGTAGGACTAACGGCCAATCCTGTCCTAGTATGTGGACTTTCAAAAACAGAATGGACAACGAATATCCAATTTCTACCCTGTTTCATATCTAACTATATCTAATAACGGTTTGCTGAATAGCAAATCAAGAAAGAGCAACTAAAACTACTGCAACTGATGGCATTCCGGCCATCATGAACCGAAAAAAATAAAAAGGAAGTTAGAAGGAAGAAGATATAATAACAATCATTCAGAAACTCAAATCATTTCTTGGCGGAATGAGGTCAAGGGCATTTGATTCCCACCTTGATAAATATGAAGGTGGTGTAACTGCCTTAGTGATGGGAAGTTCTCTTGTTGCAGCCATGGGAGCTTTCATCTTTGGTTATGATTTCGGAATGTCAGGTTGGCTTTGCATTTTGGAGATTGTGATAAATGGTATTCATATTTTAGATCATGCTGATAAAATTTGTTGTTAACCAAGTTTTCTTTTTTTGATTTTTTTTTGGCGGGAGGGGTGACTTCAATGAAACCATTCTTGATGATGTTTTTCCCATCGGTGTACTGGAAGATGGTTCAGGACAAAGACCAAGAAAATCAATACTGCAAATTTGATAGCAGCCTACTATCATTTTTCACTTCTTTCCTCTACCTGGCAGCATTGGCAGCTTCGTTGTTTGCCTCAATAGTTTCCAAGACCTTTGGCCGGACTGCCTCGATGTCTTTTGCAGGTGTTGCTTTTCTTGTTGGAGCTATCCTAAATGGTTCTGCTGCAAATGTGTATATGCTCATCATAGGTCGTTTACGGTTTGGTGGTGGCATAGGATTTGGTAACCTCGTTTGTTTTAATCCTCTCCTCTTCTCTCCGAAGACGTCCAAGCAATATTTTTCGATGTTTAACTTTCTAATTTCTACCTCAATAAGATGATCAAACCATAATGGTTTGGTCATTAATTTATGACAGGTTGTTCCAATTTACTTATCCCAAATATCACCAGCGAAGATTTGGGGGGCACTCAATATTTATGGCTTCCAATTGGCAGCCACAATTGGGATTCTTATAGCAAATGTCGTGAACTATCATACGAATAAAAGCAAAGGTGGATGGGGATGGAGAGTGTCTCTATCCCTTGCAGCCATCCCTGCTTTGTTTATGATTATCGGATACGTATTCCTAACGGATACTCCAAAATCTATTCTAGAGAGAGGCAACACAGAAACGGCAAAAGATATGTTACAAAGAATCCGTGGAACAAAAAATGTTGAAAGAGAGTTCCAGGACATTCTGAATGCGAGTGAGGCTGCAAAGAAATGGCAGAACCCGTGGAAAAACATTATACAGAGAAGATATAGGCCTCAGCTTGTCATGTGTATCCTGATTCCTTTTTTTCAACAGCTAACAGGGATCAACGTTGTTATGTTTTATGCACCTGTTCTCTTTAAGACTATGGGTTTTGGTGATAAGCCTTCATTTACGTCTGCTGTTATAACAGGCGCTGTTAATGTCCTTTCAACTTTATTGTCCATCTGCTATGTCGACAGGTTTCGTAGAAGGGCTTTGTTGCGTGAAGGTGGCATGCAAATGGCTTTTTGCCTGGTATGTCTTCACTTACTACAATTTTCAATTGAAATCCTTTAAGAAGATAAAGGCCTTCTGCCTGATACCTTTTCCTTGACGCTGGCTGGTGTGGCTTGCTGTTTCATTGCAGTTTGTGATCGGGATGATAACAGGCTCAAACTTCGGGACTGCTGGCGAAGGAACCTTAACGAAAGCAGATGCAAATTTAATGCAGATTAGTCAGTGCTTTTGTTGCAGCATATGAATGGTCTTGGGGACCAATGGGTTGGCTCATTCCCAGTGAGATATGTGCTCTAGAAGTTCGATCAGCAGGACAAGCTCCTAGTGTTTCTGTCAACATGGTCTGCACTTTCTTCCCTTCTCAAACTTTCCTCGCCTTGCTTTGTCATTTGAAGTTTGGTTTCTTCTTTTTCTTTGGTGCCTTTGTAATCTTCATGACTTACTTCATAATTCTCTTTTTACCTGAGACAAAGACTATCCCAATTGAAGGTATAACTATTATCAGGAAGGATCATTGGTGCTGGGGGAAGTATAGTGCCGATGATACTCTTGATCATTGTGAAGGTAACAATCGCAGACCCTATTTCTCCTTAAGTAACCAAGCTTTTCAAACTGGTAGTACAAGACATCCACGGCCAACAGGGCGTCCTATGGCAAATCAAAACTAAATGGACAGGATCAACCTATTTCATTAGTGTCCAAGTCAGGATATTGTTCAATAAATTTCTTATTGTACGTCAAATTCTTAGACAAGGATGTTTCTGGCCATTGTGTAGCCGCTATGGTGCAAGCCTGATAATTGCTTCTATGCACAAATTGTGGTGGTGGACATTGGAAAACTGCCAAAGTTTACTGATAGAGCAAAATGTTTCTCTTTCTGGATTTCATAATCCTTTTCATATTTTCTTTACGGTTATTTTCACTTTTTCTAATCATTTTATAGATTTTAGGATACTTGCAAAAGGTTTCGTAAGAACTTCTAGAGGTAAAAACTAAGAAGATAAAGTAAAATCAGAATTGAGCACAAGCCATGGTAAAGCCAGAACTGAGCACAAACCAAAGCCAGTATGGTAACTGCTATTCTCCCCCAGCAGGTAAATGCATATCTAAGCATGCAATAACATTGTCAGCAAACAAAGAACAAATATACAAACCAGACAAAATGAAGCTTCTGAATCAGAACTGTTAGCAAATTACTTGATATAGCAATCCGAAAGAATTAAGAACTGCTTTTTTATATGAGCTATACAACTTTACACAAAATATGCTATTATGTAGTATCCAACTTCAAGAAAGCAAAACAGAGAAAAAGCATCAGACAAGAGAATAGTACCAACATCTTTAAGTTGACTTGCTCTTGGTGTCACGTCCCTTGCCTTCTGGCAACTTATACAACAATATGCCCCTTGGACTAATCACACAATTCTCACAAACCCTTTCTGCCAAGAACAATTGTTGAAGTTCTTCTCTACGCTGCTCCAATTCCTGTGATTGAAAGTCAATGAGATTACGGAATTTTCATTTTCTAAACAAATTTCATACTATGGACCTGTGAGCATACAAATCAATACCAAATTATAAATCTCCAGTACTCATCATGTAAAGGTGGTTTTTTGATAAATTTCTTATCAAATATCACCTGCAATGCACCGCAATAATGTGCTCTTACTCTTCGTCTGCCAACTTAAAGAAGATTTGGGTAGATGGTAAAAGAGGTTTGAATCCCAAAAGAAGCAATCAGAGTATGACTAGACCTCCGGACATTGATACTACGGCTGAACATTAGCATCAGACGAAACAATCATCAAGGCAAGATATAGACCAAAGGCCAGATTTGAACTCTCATAACTTATCTCCAAGTCCTTAACCGCTTGTTCCCTCGTAATTTCCTTTTTCTGGCGTGCGCGTTTGAGAAAGCCAATGCATAATAGTCCCTAACAAATTGTTGATACAATCAAGGATTAAACAGAAACTCAAGTCACAACTCTGGCTCAATTCCAATCCGAACTATATTTATCAATACATCAAAGTGAAAAATAAACCTAAACTATAATAGGATGTTAAATCACTTAGCCCATAGATAAGCAAACCTCACTAGAACACAAGATCAAAGAAAAAGGAAACGGTAAATTTGTAATTCAGTTGAATTATGAACCATAGTCTTTGTTAGTATTTCTTCTACCTTCTTATCCTTTCAAGTTTTTTTTTTTTTTTTTGATACAAAGGAGGCCGTATCATGAGAATAGGAGGGTTGCAAGTATTAGGGTTCGAACCTAATCTTGCTGGATGTTAAGCGGTAACTGCAGGAATCAACTAAGTTAAGCTTTGGTTCAGTTGAATCAGAAGAACTTAGTTGATTTAGCCTAGAAATTCTCTTGGCAACATAAACATTAGGTCCATTATCTAACCGGAATAACGTAGACCAAACCGCAAACAAGGAGCATATAGCTAATACCTTGCTACGTTCTGAAGAAGAACAAGATCCTGCTGGCTTTTGGAATATCAGGGAAAGCTCTTGTCATTACAGCAACACTGAAGAGAATAATAACAATTTTACAAAGAAGAAGCCGGAAAGGGGAAAGAAACAAATAGAAAAACAAGAAAAATCCAACTGCAATAGTAGACATACGACATTTGCAGCGTACTACTACCAGTCCAGTACTCCAACACCTACACAATTTTTAGATTAAAACATTCAACATTTATCATTTGTCTGGTATTAATTATTATTACATCTTTTAGATATAAATTCCGCTTCCAGACCTCTCCCCCGCCCCTTGACGTAGTGGCTATGAATGGGGCTTAATAATCAAGCTCTGGAAGGGGAAATTTTTTTTTGAGTACATGGGGTTGGGGCAGAGTAGGGCTCAAAACCGAGCCCAAATGTCCCCTTTAAGCTCTCCTTAGCCAATAGGCCAGGGCTCGGTTTCGAGCCATCCCCTCCCCCCCCCCCCCCCCCCCCAACAACCCCCAGTACTAAAAAAAAATTTCCGTTTAACAGCTTGATTATGAAGGCCCATTCTATTTCCGTGAGAACTAAAGTTATAAATAATACATTAGTACTTACAAATTATTTTATTTAATTTAAATAAATTTAAATTTAATTCGATTATTATTGAGTCGAGTTCAAGTAGCTTGATTTATCGATTGAGTCAAATTCGAACATTTTTATACTCAATTCGAGTTATTTGTGAGCCTAATCAAGCTTTTATATTTTAATATATTTTAATTATTTTAATTGATAAAATATCTTGAACTCGAGTTCGAACTAGAGCATAAATAATAAAGCTTTTATTGAATATATGAATAGAGCTTATTTTTACATGTTAATCGAGCCTAATCGAACGAGTTCGAGTAACTCGATTTCTATTTCGAGTTAAGCTCGAGCTAAAAAAATAAAACTTGCTCGAGTTTGAATCGAGTTTCGAGCATCGAATTTAGAGTCGAGCTCCAACTTAGTACTTTATCGGGTCGAACTCGATCGATTACACTTTTAGTAAAAATCACAAAAAATGTATGAAAATCCCATTAAAAAATTGTTTATTTTTGTTTGTATAAAGAAAGAAAAAAATGGTCAATGTAGTTATTAAAGAGAAAGAGAAAGCAAAGGAAAAAAAAGGCAATAACAATCACCTAATAGGAAAATCCCACTAAAAATGTTTGTGTCAAGTTTCAATTTCAAGGTCAAATCCTAGAAAGACAGAAGAAAAGAACAGTTAGAGGCCAAGGTAGGGGGTATTCATTACGTTTACACTCCAACACTCAAGTTAAAACAAATGAGATCGAAATGAAAATAATAAGGAGAAATAGAAGTAGTCGGGACTTATCTTAATAGTGTCTAGACCTTTATATTTATACATAAGTAATGGGGTACCATTGAGGGATAACAAGGATAGTGCCGAGCTGATGTGGCATTAGACGTGTCAGACCAACCTAACATGTCAGGTTAGCACAAATGATAGAATTACCTTTGATTTTTTGTTACGGGCTTCTAACATGGAAAAAACTATTATACCTTTTTGATCATTAAATGCCCCTAACACTTTATCCCTCTACCAAGCAATTTGAGTATCTGATTGCTGAATATATGATCGATGCGTTCGGTATAATGTAGATAGGCAAAAAAAAATCACGTGAAATTTGATTCTTCAAAGTTGACGTCATAGAGGGGGATCAATATTAAGGGACAACTAGATTTGAGCCACGGTCTGACCTTGTGATTGTCTAATCTTGCGTGTATATATATGATCGATGCGTTCGGTATAGTATAGATAGGCAAAAAAAAATCACGTGAAATTTGATTCTTCAAAGTTGACGTTATAGAGGGGGATCAATATTAAGGGACAACTAGATTTGAGCCACGGTCTGACCTTGTGATTGTCTAATCTTGCGTGTATATATTGGGTTGAGTACACAACCGGCTTAAAGATTGCTAAGGTGATAATTGTTTGGAATGGTTCAAAGTTAGTGTTGAAGTTCATCTGGTTGACATAAAACTTGTGTTTTATTTCAGGAGTTTGGATTTGAGTCTCTACTTTGAATGCTTATGATGAACAAAGCATTCGATTTACCTTAAGAAGTTGTCCAACCTGGCCAATATGACCAAGGTTCATTTGATTTGGTCAGTCTGACTTGGAGTTCATTTGGTTTGGCCAGTCTAGCAACATTAAATGAGAAGAGAGATAGTTTGAGCGAAAAAATTTTAAAAAAAAAGATGAAAAAACATCTCCTTTTCAATCTTACATGTGGCGTGCTCTGTGTCGTTCATCTGATCTGCGATGCAGCTATATAAAGAGCTCTTGGAGTTTTCATTTTTCACCTTTTTACTTTTTTGCTCTCAGTCTGATCTAAATTTTTTTAATCTTAAAAGCTTTCTGGCCTTAAAGTTTTTTTTTTGTTTTCTTCAGTACATATTCTTAACCATGTATTATAATACAAGTTTTAGAGAGGATGAAAGTTTTAGGGTAGGACCTAAGAAAGGTAAGTTCAGGTAGGATGATGACAATCTGATTTCACCAATCATCGGGGATTGTAAATGTGAAAAGATAGCCTTCTAGTTCAACTCGATGTCTAAAGAAAGGTAATGATAAAATGAAAAAAAATGCTCGAGCAAGAAGAGAACGGGTCTTGAGCACAAAAGAACTACATGCTTAGATAGACTTCGACCTACAAAATCCATCATTTTTTTTAATCTCTTAGGTCGATCCATCTTTTTGGTCAACCTTCTTTCATCTTCAACTATTCCCTCTTTCATGTTAATTTTCTTTTACTTCGTTCTTTCACCTATTAATGCTTTCATTGTCACTTTTATTTTTTCTCGATTAGTTTTTATTGATAACACTTCCTTTAATAAAGGGTTTCTACCTCATCCTTCTTCTCTTAGAGTTAAGTAGCTCTCAGCCACGGTTCAACCTTAGAATCTTACTTCTGTATAAGAGTGAAAATCTTTTAAAAGTGAAAATTTTGACAATTAGGAGAGTTTTAAAGAAGAACTAAAAAAAGAGAGTACCTTAGTTAAAAAAAATGACAGTAAGGAAAAGAATCTTATAGAGCAAGATGAACCAATCGAAGTCCCTATATATACTCCATGTGACATCGGTATGATCTCCAAAAACATGATGAGTGAACTGAAGGGCAAGGTAAATTCTGAATACTATCCTAACATATGTTCAGCTTATTACATTCATGCTTTGGTCACACCCTTCATTTTTTCCAAGAAGGGTACAGTATAATAATGCCGAACTCCGCAGACTAAGTCACTGATAGATTGAAACCATATTGATTTTATGTATATTGGGATTCTTTCATGGTCGATCTAAGGTTTTCACTTCACTCTTTATTTGTTTTAATTTTTAACTCTTATAATTTGATTATTACCCACATTACTTCTAACTCTATTGGGTACATAGTTGCTTTCATCATTCTTTATTAATATCTAAACATTTTTCCTTCTCTCTCTCTATTTAAAAATTTTTTTTCTATTCAAATACACCCTATTGATAAAAAGTGGTATTATGTAACAGTTTTACCTAATAAAAAGTTATTTGTTGATTGTCTGAGCTCGATAAAAAATTAAAAACTGCTTTTTATTTGTCTTTAAAAATAGAAAATAAGTAAAGATAGCCAACCCGAGGTCGAGGTCACTATCGAAGTTGAGGCTTGAAAAATAAAAAGTGTGCCTAATATTTTTATCAATGCATCGGTGGCTCTTTCCATCCTAGATCTATCAGATTGTGATAAAATAATATATTACACCCATAAAAAGAGCTCGTTATTAATGCCTACAAGCTAACATCCCCTTAAGTAATAAATGAGATAAAGCATTGGGTTAGGTTTAAAATAACCTGGTAGAATTTTATTTTGACTTGATTTTTATCTAATTGTTAGCTTAATTTTATAGATATGTCCACCAATGATGACTTTAACTTTACCCTATACTAGCATGCCCTCAGGCCTTAAAAGGCCAAAAAAAATTTAACTTTGGGTTCTATCTTATGAAGAGGAACCCTTTAGTGCAGCATTCTTCAGTAGCTTGAATGATAAAGGCCAGGGTTGGTTACGATCTCTTATCGGCAAAAGCATTCTTTTCTACTAAAAGACCAAGAGTAGATGTCTCCTCTTCTACTTTAAAGAACCCCAAAGCCAAGGTACTAAAACCTAACTAAAAAAAAATTTCTACGAGGTTGGAGTATGCTTTTACCGATGGTTCCACCAAGAACCTTGATGTGACGAAGAGATTTTGTAAGGTCGCAGTCCCTTATCTTGGTAAGTACTACCTGACTTCAACTTAAATTTATCATTATTTTTCATTTTACTAAGTTTAAGTTCATTTTATACAATCCAACAAAAATTTCTTGCTGAGCTTCTAGATATCACCAGTCATACCCTCCACTATACTTATCTTTTTATGGCATACCTTTTCAATGCCAAGAAAAATGTGGCTATCTTGATTGTATAGCATAAGAAGAGCTCGAACGCACTGGGCAACGTCAGGTCTAGCCTTAGCACGTCTTATAAAAGGAGACTAAGCAGAAAAAGAAAAATGATGAGCTAACGACGAAGCTAAAGGCCATCATAATTGATAAGACCTCAGCTGATTGATAAAGAAGTAGGTTGAACTTAAGTTCAACGATGTTTAGACCGAGATAACAAGACCAAAGTTTGAGCTAAATACTAAAAAGATAGAGGAAAAAGATCTGAAGAAGAAAGCTATCGAAGAGTTCAAGACTTCCAATGAACACTTCTAAAGTGGAGTTCTATAAAAAAAATATGCTCGGTGCCTTTAACCAAGCCAAGGATGAGGTGCAATTTAAGTACTTTTACCTCAACCTCGATCTTTTTAATGTTGACATTAATAATATTATATTAAAGCCTCTTTTAAATCGACCTAAAAAAAAGAAAAAAAGAAAAAAAGATGATGATAAGGTCATAGACGTCGAGCTTGAGGTAGCTCTGAGGCTCGAGCATAAGGAGGAGGAGGCCAAAAGAGGTTAAGGTCATCGTCGCTGCTTCTACTGATGAGGATACTGCTGTTGCTATTGATGTTGATTTGTTGACACATGATTCTTTTTTTTACTTTTAATTTTTGTAAATTTGTATTAATGTATGAGGTTAGTTTTTGTAATGACTTTGGATATGAATGATTTGCTTGACAAACTATTTGCTAACATCTTTTGTACTTAATAGAAAATCAAATAAAAACTTTTATTCAGTTTAGTCCAAGCTTCAGCTTAGCTTTGTTATTATAATGTTTTTCTTTATTTATACAAGTTTAAACACGGTTAATCATAGAAGTTTGAGTCCGATTAAATGAACTAAAGATTTACTTAATCACTTGAATTAAATTAACTTGAGCACGATTAACTAAAAAAGTTTAAGTACGGTTAACCAAAAAAGTTTTAAGTCAAATTTTGTTACATCGGTTAGA